GGGCCCCCCCCCCCCCCCGCGGCGGGGCCGTTGCCGTAACGGACGGCTCGGCCGTTAACGGCTGCGCGGGCCGTGGTAGCTCAGCGCTGAGGGAGCTCCGCGAGCTCCCCGGAGCAGCCCCTGGCCGAGGTGGCGCAAGGAGGCTGTGGTATCACTACCTGCCCCCTCACCGCGGGGCTCTGCTCCCCGGGAACCTCGATACGTCCCTCGCCTCCCCGTACGTGCTATTTCGTAGCTAGAAAAATTAAGAAGCAAGTTGCACATGCAGTGGCCTACGATTTGAAGTTCGAAATGCTGTAACTTCACTGAGGAGGTGAGAAATAAGGCAAGCTCTTCCAGGGAGGAAGAGCAGCACTGATAAAGGTTATTTGGAGAATCTGAAATGAAACCTTTCCTGAAGAAATTCAGGAGGTCAGTGTTGGATCTTCAAAGTCAGATGAAAATAGGCTGTGGGGGGTACTCAGAATAATTTTTAAAACCACTAAAAAGCTGCTAAAATGAAGTTTGAAATCTGTGCTCTTTTGAGCCTTTATGATTTAAAAAAGGTTAAGAGGTCTGAATGAATGCTCTACCTCAGCTTCTAATATAAGCAAGTTTCATACTTACCTGGTTTCTTTATGGTATTGTAAAGGACTGTATGTAGTCTTAGTCCTTGTGCGCTAAATGCATATGAGAACAAAAACACGTTTTCTCAGTGTGAGCAATTTGGAGGAGAAACATAAACTCAGTATGGGTACACAGTTGCCTGTTTTATTTGAGCATACAGGTCAGGTGCTTACGGAAGAACAGTGATGGCAGGATCTAGATACAACTTCAGAGGATTGAAATGGTTTGAGCTAGGTGTTGTAGAAGTTTGCTGACCCCTAATTTGGGAACTGTGAGTGTCTAGCAGCAGCTGGTTTTGTTTGTCTGTTTTTATGTATATGTCAGCAAGGATATAACAGCAGAATTCTGTTAGAGTAGTCTTAAGTTAATGTGGTTTAGTCATGGAGGAAAAATCAGTTTACTTTGGATGTGCCATTGCTGGCTCAGCAAACTTCTAATTTGCAAATTCTGGAGGTTATGAGAATACGTCAGGGGAATACTGTGATACGCTTGTCTTGTATTTGTATCTGTCCCTTGAGCATCTGTTCTTGGCCACTGAGAAGATAAAACTTTGGTTCAACTTGAAGTCACCATACTTACGGTCTATTTCTTTAAATATACTGTGGCACTAACTTTAATATTTTGAAGTATTGAAAAGAGTTAAAACTAAGCCATAACTGTTAAAATGTAATGTTATGTGGTAGTCTTGGTTTTTTCTTTCTTAATTTTATTTAAATATGCAAAATTCAATATTTCACAACAAGCTCCTTCAGTTGTTTAAACAGATGTATGAGACTGAACTGTATACATAAGTGAAGCGCCACGGGCGTGATGGTTAAGAGCTGTTCTGCCTATCACTGGTGCAGGTATCAGCACTGATTTCAGTCTCTTGAAAGTAGAAAAACTTGTCTTACCCTTCCAGCTAAAGAGAAGTTACTGCAGATCTAATTTCTATATGGAAAGTGAAGGTGGGGGGAGGTGGGAAAGTAAAAAATATGTGCAGGATTTCAGAAAGTAGGGCATTTGGGGTAGGAGAGTTGTGAAGCTATGCAATCACTGCTGCTTCCCATCCCTAGGAGTGATAGCACTATTAGGGAGAGTACAGCTGGCTCTGGTAAATGTGCCTGTGGAGAGAATATATGGTAGCAGAAGATACATTTTTCTTCCAGGACACTTCTTGACTAGTAGTAGATGTTTTGTCTAGTTTTCTTTTAAATGTCCAGACTGACAGGGGTCAAAAGAAACTAGTAAATCTCATAGTCAGGAAAATTGGATACTCTCTTATATTTTATTAAATGATTCCTTATTGTAGATCTTTGTATATAGCATTTGTGTTGTTATTACTAGTGAGATATAGTGATATAAGGCTGTGATTTTTAGCAAGTTCTTTATTTCTTCTTTCCCATTACAGTTTGTAATAGGAACCACTCTCTTCCATAGTAGTGGGTAGCAGATGAGATTTAAAAAAAAATCTGTCTCCAGTTTTCACATGATAATTAATTAGGCTTCCTCCTCTGTTTGGATTCACCTCTTTTTTTTTTCTTGCAGGTACTATTTTTCTGTCCCAAGTATAAGTAACAGAAACATGACCACATCAATAGAATGCCAACAGGTATCTATCACAACGCAAGCCTGTGTTGTTTAAGACTTTCCTCTGTATGCTGCTGAACATAACTACCTGTTAAAATAGGTTCCTGTTTATTGTGCACTATTGTCCTTGGCTGAGCCTCATTGAAGATATTGTCTGATTTATTTCTTATTTGACAGAGAAGTTAAATCTCAGTGGTTTAGTTAAGTATTGTGAAAGCCAGAGTTGTGGCATCTATGGCCCCTAGACTTTATACTGACCACCAAAACACTTGTGTAGCGTTTTTTAGTTTGTTTGCCAGTGCTCTTCTAATACAGGCATGTGAGGAGTTTATTGGATCTGGTGACCAGTGAGAGGATATCTGTATGCTTGCTGTGAGTTGGGCATGGGGTACTTCTGTGGCTTATGTAGTAGGAGAGGGAATGAGTGACTGAGTAGTTAGTGTCTGTGGCCATGTGGCCTAGCGTCACAAAAAGATTCAACACCTGATTTCCCTCATTTGTGTGAGGCAGACTGCCAGGTAATGTTTCTGTAACATAATGTCAAAAATGAAAACAAAGTCATCCTGTAGGCAGGATGCCATGTAGAGGCGTGTAGCCTCTACAGATGCCATGTAGCTTTTTAAAGAAAATAGTCCTAAACATTGTTTTGAGACTTATCAGCTCGCTTCTGTGCTTACCCTTCAATATTTAAATTTTTACTCCGTAAGAATGAAGGGAATCCGCTCAGAATCAGAATGCAACTGTTGCTTTATTGGTATGTGTCAACCTGTTAGGCTGCCCTGTCAGAAAAAAGAGGGAGTCCTCTACTGCTGTGTAAGAAATAGCTGCTCGTAGGGCATTGCTTTCGGGATGTAGGTCATATTCATTCTCTCTCCCTGTCGTTCCCCCCCCCCTTCATTATTATTTTTTTATTTACAGTTTAAAAGGAAAAGGCAGGCAGAACACCAGCAGAATCAATATTTGCCATTTTTGTTGTGGAAATTTATTGCAAAAATTCATGTTGAAAAAGCCGTCTAATTCTGATGGTGGCTTGTATATAGTTACGATTATCATTAAAGTGTTGCTTTCAGTTTTAGCAGGGAATAAAATGCTTGAGAATGATTCAAATTTTTTTTTCCTTATTGAAAAGAAGTCAAGCAGCATCTATGATACTAATTTATGGTCTCTAGAATAGCAAACTGGGGGATAGATCCAGCTTACCTTTAAGTGAACGGCAGAACTTCCCTCAGTCGAAGCAACATGGGATCACACTGTAGGTTTAGAAGAAGTAATTGGTAAAGAATTCATTTCCTGGAGGGCATGAGTTTTTGCACCATGAAATCCATAGGAAATTGAGTTGATGAGAGCCACATAACATGCCACTAGACAAATGTTATCCCTTCTGTCTTTTTATGTAAATCTACTGAAGACAGAATTTGATCTTTGAGTTATATATTCACTTAAATAGTAGTATTCCAGCTATCCATGCTCTAATTTAAATGTTAAGTGAAAAATCTAATCTGCTTCAGTAATGCAGTATTAGGATAAAGAAGGATTAAAATGTTTTGTTATTGGTTAGCCCTTTAGAAGAAGGGGGTGGCAGTTCCTTTCAGAATTTGTAGAGTGAAAACATAGTTGTGTTAGCATTTTCAGAGCAGCTCAGATATAATGTTATGCTCTATTGTGAGAGAATTTAATGTAGGATCAAAGATTGGTGTACTTGAAGCAAACAGACTGAATTTTTAATAGTCTTTTAAAAATGTACAGATCTAGTAATTTATGTTGACTTGTATCTTAGCTTATGAATGTCCACTTGTAAAGAGAATATTTGATGCTGAAAAAGTTTCATAGTTGGATGTGTTTGTATGTGTAAATATTTGTTTGTGTTAAATTAAACTATGATATACCAGAGCAAGAATTTCAGTCAATTTAACAAGGGGTACTAAGCTTAGATTGGCTTGATGAAAAGGTATAAAGCTTTCTGAAGCATGTTGGTTGGTATACATGGAAATCAAAAGTAGTAACATACTTCTGTTGTGGAGCACAGGCACAGCTTAAATTATTGTCCCTTGTTTCATTGCAAATGCATAAAATTAAATGCATATATAAATCTTTGTATTGCGATCTTTAATTTTTGTTTTAGATGTCCTTGGCTTATTTCATTTGGGATTAATGAGCTCTGCTTTAGCTTTCTTTCAGTACTCTATTTCCAAATGTATATTTGATCCCCTTCCCTTTGCTAATTCTAATTTGTCAGCAGGTGAGAAAATTGAACCATTCTTGCTGCTTGAATATTATATCTCATAGGAAACAAATGTCTAGTTTATACTGGTTTTGTTGTTTGTTTTCCCTATGCATTATAGATTTAACTTCATATTTAGAAGCTTAATTGACTGGCAAAAAGATAGGCCTCTTGATGAGTGTAGTTAGAGAATGAGAATGCTGGGAATAATTAGAAAATTATTCTGAGGCATTCTACTGCCTATTGCAATACCATTGAAAGAATTGATGTAAAAAAAATATATAGATAGATATATTTTTTTTAATATTTGGGTTCTCTCAGTAGTGGTGTTTACCTGTAGCATAAACATAATATAAAATTATATATATATATTTTTTCATAAACTGCTAGTCTTGTCTGAGAGAGGTTAGATTGGTGAAATGCAATGAAGGTATCTATCATAATGCCATATCCCATCTGGATATTGTCACTCCTACTTGCTGTAGGATGTATACAATTTATGTAACTATAATCAAGTTATTAGTATTGTTTTTACAAAGGCAAAATTCATCTTTTCTCAAGTACAGTTCTGAATTTCTAAATTCTCTGATTTACAGTTGGACTTATTTTAGGAATCTGTTATAAGATGTGGCGTCCTTGTGATTCTCATTCAAGTAACTAGAAATTTAAGGTTTTATTGGATTTTGCAGCATTAAATGCTCAGTAGGTAAGAATGTGTTAACTAGGTTGTGTGGGTTTTAGATACAAGCATGAGAAACACACATGATGAAAAAGTTTTCTCTGTGCTCTGTTTCTAAGTATATGTGCAAGTGCGCACATAGAGGCAATCTTCTGTTGCATCAGAGTATTAGGACGTGGCTTCCCTTATCAGAAGAGCTCAACGCAAGCGCTATATGAACAATTTGTTTTTTAGTATCTTCTGTGTAGCGAAGGAAAAGGCACTATAAGGCAACTAGCAAAAATTTTAAGGTATGTTGAAAGTTTTCTGCTGACTTTTAAAATAATGCAAATATTGCAGGTTTTAAAGTGATTAGAGGCCTTAAAAAACACTTCTAAAAGTAATACTAACTAACTGGCATTCTAGCTTTTTATTTTGGATGCCTGTTCTTAGTTCAAATAGAACACCACCATTTCTTTCCTCTTGTAGTGAAAAGGGGGAAGACAAGAACCCTCTTTTACCTAAGGAGAAGATAAATCACAGTCGTCTTTCTCTGTTTTGTATCACAGAGAAATAGTAATAATTATGGACAGAAACTTACTCAGTTGAGTTACAGTGGCAGAATTAAAGATAGTGGTTACCAGAAACACTGTTTTGTGTGTCCTTGACTTGCCCTCCCTTCTCTGAAAGACCTTTTGGTTCCTTCCCTTTTAACTATTGAGGTGCAGGACTTACTTGTTTCTTGATGTTTGTTTCTTGTCATTGTTTTCTAAGTAGGGAGCAGCTGTGTCACTCTACATTTTGTCTTCAAGGAAATTGAAGACAAATTTACCTGCTGGCCCTTGGCATCAAAGAAAGATTATTCTTGTCGGCAGCAGGAAAGGCTACTTTTTTCGTTGTCTAGGCTAGCAGTAGGAAAACAGAATAGAACTTTTCCTTTGTTCTTCAGTATATCTTATAACCCAGAAGGCCTAGCATACAGTGCCTTTAGAAAGTATAAGCATTTAACTGTTCTATTTTCACTGTTTGTCCCTCAATGATGCAGAGTGGAGTGTAGATATTGGCACTTGGAGGTGTTTTCAGTCTTTTGAGTTTTCCAAGATCTGCATGTCTCTGAAAAGCATAATTCTAAGACGTTTGTTGGAAGTTTAGACAAATTCTGTCAGGCACTGATTTTTTTTTTCCTGTTTAAAAAAAAAAAGTTTTGTTTTCTTATGATATAATAATTTTGCAGTGCTTGTTTCTCTGTTTTAATTATGATGGGGTAAGGATTTACCTGTACAAATAGAATGTAAAGCACCAGCTTCCAATATGGACTTTATATAAAAGATATCCTTCAAATTCTGAATGTGAGAGACTGACTTTAGCAGGATTTGAATTAGACCTCTAGTTGGTCATGGAACATAAACCAGAATCTCAGTGCTTCCTGTATGTCACCTGGAAACTAAAAAATAATTCTATGTACTTAAACCAGGGTAACAATAGCGTATACATTGCTTGTATTCACTGGTCGGGTGAGAATGTGCTAGTAAAATTGTGCCCTTTTAGTTGAACAGCAGTGGAAGTATACTTTACAAAGAGTAACTTAAAGGCAGGAAAAATGTTGTCTGATGTTAATTTTTTTTTTTAATAACAAATACTATTAGATGAATGATACAGGTAATAGCCATTCAGTTTTTCAGTGTCATTAAAGTAGAACAATCAAGTATTTAGATAATAATTTTAATCTGTTTTCAAAAATGTTAATTTTTTTTTTTTTTTTTTGCTATTTGTCAGGATGCCATGAGCTTGCTGATAATGTCAACAGTTCAAGACAGGATAAAAATGCATCTCGAATTACTTAAATATCTCAGTTCACATGATCTTTATCTAAAGAAAAACAGTTATTTAATAAATCTACGTTCTTGGCTCTATTTTCAATGGCATTTATTTTTATTAGACCACAGGAATCTTGAAGTTAAGCTTTTCTTTTTGCACCTGACTACATATGATGAAAAAGGATATAGTTCCACACCTATATCCTTGTTAAGCATAGCATGTACTCATGTCATTGTTCCTCAAAGAGACATCAGCCACCCTATAGTTATTTTCAGCTGTACTTTAAAATGCACTTTGATTGAAATTTAGGAAATAAAAAGGCCAG